TAATGTCCATAGTGGCAGGGAAAACCAGCACAAATCTGGGCAACGAGTTTTCTCAGTTCAATGAATCTTTAGTGCTGCACCAATTTTGAAGCAATAGTCAGAAGGAGCCACTGGTGGCACAGTCGGTAAAATGCTCAGGTTGCTAACTGACAGATCATGGCTTGAACCCAGCAGCTGTTTTGTGGGAGAAAGATTAATCTGTCTGCTTTCATAAAGATTTATAGCCTCAGAAATATTAGGAAGCAGCTCTACTCTGTCCTACAGGATCACTATGAGTCAGAATCAACTTAGTGTCAGTGAGTGGGAATCAAATGTAGACAAGAGAACAAAGCCAATCAGGAAACAAGTGAAGAAACAATCCATGAAATTCACTTATCAATTAGGATTTTTGATATTGAATAGCATTTTCCGAAAGGAATTTTACCCACCATAACAATGATTCATCAGAGGGAAGGAGTCCATAACCCTGTTCATAACTACTGGTTGTCATTCCTTTCCTAGAAGCAGGTTGTTGTTGTTGTTTGGTGTGTCCACTTACTTGGACTCAGCAGCCAGATATACAATAGAAGAAAACACTGCCCAGTCCTCCGCCATTCTCACCACTGTTAGTTTGAAGCCACTGTGAAATCATATATCCCTGTCGAGACTAACTTGGGCATGGCCAAGTTTTGGCTCATGAACTGTGAGTGAAAGTAAAGTATGTGACTAGAAGCTTTAAGAGCCAGTGTGCACCTGGCTTCCTGCTTTTGCTCCGGAGATGGCATTGTTTTAGAGAGTGTTGCTCTCCTAGCCTGGGCTCTGTGGAAAGAGAAATGATCGTGTGGAGCTGAGTCACCAGAAAACAGTAGAGGGCAGGCAGTGTAAATGAGAAGCCATGTTTGAGATTTCAAGTCGCTGAGACATGTAGGTTCTATGGTATAGTAGTGGCGTAGCCTGCCTTGAATCATGTCTGTATATTATCAATATTAGTACTTACTTAATAATGTTTTCTCTTTGTTTAATATTTAACTTAAAATCTTTTAGATTTTAAGCAATACATGTAGTTAAGTACTGGCTATATTTCAATTATATTTCATCAAATATATTTTGTGTATTTGCACATACACATTTATATATACAAATTTACATATTCTTAAATTAAATATAGAAGCTACACAAATTCATAGATTTAAATGTAAAACGTAAATTATATTTACATCAAAGTAAATATGCATATTGTATACAATACACAGATTTATACATTTTATGTGTGAAGCTGTTAAGTAAGAAATTATTTGAAGTTCCCAGTTTTGTACTAAGTTTCAATGTCACACCCATATCCTGTGAACTATGAATTGCCTTCTCGATATGTCAGAGATCAGACAGGAATAGGGTCATGAATTTAATATATGTGCGAATACATCATCTAAAAATCATACCAGGTTTGTTTGCAAAAATAATTAATGAGTAACATAATCAGAGAATCTATCTAATTTGCATATACAAATCCAAAGGTGTACAGGTGTTCAGGTTAAATACATATAGGCTTTTACAGGCTTTCCAATTGCATCCTTGAGTATTTGACCTTTAGCATCAATTAGAAACCATTATTTATCCAGCTGGTAAATGCTGCCTTATGGATATCAAACATAGACTCATGCACCATTACCATTTTCAGAGAAATTGAGGAGATTACAGAAAGGGGCAAGGAATATTTTATAGAGATAAAAGGCAAGAAAAGGTCTTAGAGATCCCTGACATTTGATACAATTTGACATGTAACCCAAAACAAACCATCCAAACTGACACTACATATTCAACATGCCTTCCAAATATACTTCCTCTATAGTAGGGAATATACAGGTGGAGAGTTTTGCTATTAAAGGAAAGAAAAACTAATTTCAAACAGGTGC